GCTGACAGCCCTCAGGGACCCCTCAGCATCGCCAGCCCCACTGCAGGGGGACATGAGCCCCCCAACCCCTCCTCTGCCTCAGGGTCCCCAGGAGCTTTGTCACCCACTGGCAGGAGGAGGAGAAGGTGACCAAAGCGTTCCTGGTCCCTCCTGCAGTATGGATGGGCACAGCTTGGTGCTCTTGGGATGGCTGGCAAATGGGTTGGTGGGCAAATGGGTCACCTCACCTGTTTTGCCTCTGTCCTGAACCCAGGGTGGGTGATGTTGGGGGGGGATGGATCATCCTGGCCATGCTATTGCAACAGATGGAAGTGTCCAAGGCCAGCTTAGATGGGACTTGGAGCACCCTGGGATAGTGGAAGGTGCCCTTCTACCCATGGCAGGGGGTAGAACTCGGTGATCTTTAAGGTTCCTTCCAACCCCAACCCTTCTGATTTTATGATTCTGTGATCTCTTAGACCACTGAATCACTGTTCCCCTTGCAGAACTTCAACCACTGCATTCCCTGTCCATGTGGAAGGCCCCATGGCTTTGGATCAGCCATGGGCCACCAGCTTGGCTGCCTTTGTTATGTCAAGATGGGAAGGAAGAATCTGTAGAGCTTTAGCTGGAGCTTTCTCCTATGTGCGAGAGCTGCTGGTGGAATGTTCTCCTTGGTCAACAACTCTGCTCCAGCAAAGCAGCACCAGCCCCACACTGAGCTCTTCTCCTAGCCCAGAGCATCCCTAGGACCACCAGGAAGGTTCCACCAGCTCTGTAGTGGCTTGGGCTGGGGTGGCATCTGGGGCTGGTGCTGTGACCGAGCCCCCTGGAGCAGGGTGTGTGCTCTGGAGGAATCCTGGCTCCTCAGCTTCTTCAGTCCCTTCAGGAGGGACTGTGGTGGGAGCAGGGTGGGATGGGTAGGTCTGGGTTTGATGTAACTCTCAGTGCCAAACAGGGTCAGAAGAGAGGTGGCTGTCAGGGAGGGACAACACACCTCGAATCACCTTTCATATCAGCAACCCCCAAATCAGAAGTCATGTGCATTTCCCCTCACCAAAAGCAGAGTGTTTTCATGCCTTTTTTTGGTTTTGTTTTATTTTTTAATCTAGAAATATGGTTTCTGAAGCATTTTGTGTTTCTGTCAAGACATCTCTTGCATGTCACCTGTTAAGCTGTTTCTGTCAGGACACCCCTGTCACCAGCCAGGCTCCCCCATGGCACCCAGCTCCAAACCCAGCCCCTTCAGCTGGGGCTGGTTGGACTCACAGCACCCTAAAACACAATCAAGTCTTAACCCGATCCCTGTCAAAGTTCTGGCAGCTCCTGAGCTCCTTCCAGCCCCATCCTCAGCTGGATTCTCTCCATAGCTTCTTTTAGGATGTGCTTGATAAGCCTCTGTGCCTCATGTGGGGGCTTGTCTGTGTGTTTCCATATCTCACCCAGCTTATCAGCCACAGAAGGTGGGAGGTGTGGCCAGGCTGGGAATTAACCACCCCATGCAAACCCTCTGGAAATCAGGAGTAGAAATTCCCCCCCTTTTTTCCACTGTGGCTTTAAACCAAGAGGTAACTTCTGCAGCGTTGGAGAAGCTGTGGGAGGGAAGGTGCTGAGCCCTGCCTGTTTCCACTGGAGGAACGGCTGCCTCTGCCCTTCACATCCAGCAAAGCCCAGGAGAAACCAACACCCCAGACTGCTCAAAATAAACCCTTCTTTCCCTGGAATTGATCCAAGGACTGTGCCCAAAGGGGTGCTTTTGAGGCTGGGCTTCACCTGAGCTCCATTTCTTTCCCAACCTGTGCTTTTCTGCCATCACCTCCCTCCATCTTTGCCCCAGCCCAGGTGAAAGGAGATCACTGGGGATAAAACAGGGGGAAATCTGGTCTAGGTGGTCTGAAAGGGTGGTCCATCACCACCCTTTAGATAATCAATTCTCAGTTCATCAAGAGGAGAGGAGTCCTTCTTGTGCCATAGGGTTTCCCAGGAAACGCCATCAAAACCTGGTGTGTTTCCTGTCACTCGTTGCACCGCCCGGACAGCATCTGCCATCGTGACCTCTTCCTTCCATGTCCAGTGCTCTCACCACTGCACATGGACCAGAGCTGCTTCTAGGGTTTTCCTTTTAAGGATGCTTTGTCCCGTTCCAAAAAGAGCACAGTCTCACCTTCGGGACACCTGTGCCCCCCAAATTTCACCCCCTGGGGCCGAGGGGTCTCAACACTGAACCCTCTTGGCTCTGAGCCACTGCCTCCCCCTGGATGCAGTCTCTGTGTCACAGGAAACATGGTTCTGTCCATGGCTATACAAGAAAAGTCCAGCTAAGGCCCCTCCATCATCTCTTCCCACTTAAGATTCTTCCCCACCCTTCCGACATCTTTCACTTGCACGAACTTTCATCACACTTGCCCATTTCCTCCTCCATTTCATCTCTATCTCTCTTCTAGGAAGGTTAATGTTCTGCAAAGTTTTCATTGTCCAAAATATTTTCATTGTGCCCCCGCTCTGTTTTGGTGTGAATCCTGGCGGGATGGGAGCCGGCACCGAGGCGGTTTTGTGCTGCCCCCGGGTTTTGCCGAGGTTTCCTCCCAGCGCTGGAGCCGGCCCAGCCCTCCCGGCTTCCCGGGGCTTCGCTGGGAAGCGCTGGGAAGACAAAACCCCGCTCTGGAAGTGAAGCTATTGTTCTTACTAATTTTAACTGGATGTTCTTCCCCAAGCCTATTTTTATTCATTGCTTGTGGTAAGCCCTTTCTCTAAGGTAGAGCAATTTGCCACGGGACTCTTTCTTTTTCTTTCTTTCTTTTTTTTTTTTTTTTGGTGTGTTTACCAATTTTAATTGAGAGATATCTCCTTTTTACAAACCCAGAGCTGGAGGAGCTTTTTAAGCGCCCGTTTGCTGAGCCTCCTGCCCTGGGTTTGCTTTGATCTCTGCAGGTGAGTGTGCATTTTTGGGGCCAGAGATTGATCCTGCCTATTTGCATGTAAATCCCCAGGTTATTAAGATCCGAATCTGGCCCTTTAAATTTAATACTCCGCTTTATGCTTTTATTTCCGCGTTTCTTAAAGTAATTTCCAAAAATAACAAACTTCAAACATGACGGGGCCATCTAACGTTTTACTGCCTTGGCTGGAGTAGAAGGAACATTTCTGGAAGTATATTATCCAATTTAAGGAGCCTTTCCCATCCTGGCATGGCTCCCACCCCTCACCCCCTCTCAGAGCTGCTTTGGACGGCTCTTTGGATCGGTGCCACCTAATCCTATTAGAGGGACTTTGGTTACACTGTGCCTTGTGTTTGTAGCCAAGGAAATCAGCTGCACAGGGGGGTCCTCTCCCTTCCCTTCTCCCTTCCCCTCTCCCTTCTTTTTGCCTGCAGTTGGGATGAGAGCTCGGCCAGCCCCACGAGGCTCCTGCTCAGCCCTTGCTTTTCATTTTATTGCTCCACTCTGCATTTATTAAGGAAGATTTATGAAGTAAATTGGGTACTTGTGAACTTATAATTAATTTGGAAGGGTCAGCTCTTCCCCAGCCTGGGGAGGGCTTCTTTGTGTGGTCCTTTTGTGAAAGGCAGAGGTTGGAGAGGCTGTTCTATAGCTGGGATTTGCTTTTAATAGGGACCTGGCTATTTTTTGAGGATCTCACGGCTCTGGAAGGATCATGAGAGTGTTTTTATGCAGGGATGTGATGAAAAGGTTTGCAGAGCCCTTGGCTTGGGTGCAAAAAAAAAGCCCAACACAAACCTAAAAAAGGGATAAAAAAAGGTAAAAGGACCACATGTCCTGGGGCTGTGCTTGGCAAACCAGAGCCAGCACCTGGAGCTTGGAGATGCTCCAGGAGGTCCCCCCACTTTGGTGCCAGGTAGGGCTGGGAGCCCCTTGTCCCTCTGTCCATCCCCCTCTGCCCCACACACCACCCTGGGGACCTCTTCCTTCTCCTCAGAGCTGTTAGAACTGAAATTCTTTTCCTTACCACATTGCTTTTCTTGAAATCCAGCATTTCCTCCCCAAAATATAAACCATTAAAAGGAGAAGGTGGAGGGCAGGGAGAAGACGGTAGACAAGAGGAAATGGCCTCAAGTTTGCCAGGAGAGGTTAAGGTTTGATATTAGGAAAAATTTCTTCACTAAATGGCTGGTCATGCACTGGCACAGGCTGCTCAGGGCAGAGATGGAATCATTGCCCCTAAGGGAATTAAAAACCTTGTGGATGTGGCACTTGGGAACATGGGTTAGTGCTGGGCTTGGCCGTGCTGGGGGAATGGTTGGACTTGAGGATCTTAAAAGGCTTTTCTAACCTTAACAATTCTGTGATGGGCTGAAACAAAGAAATAAATCTGTGAATAATTAACATTTCTGGGGAAAAAAAGACAGACAGACAGTGGTTTTCTCCAGAGTGGGCTGGAAGGAGACAGGGCATGATGGTCCCACTTGGGCATTGCCTGGCAAGGTCAGGGGTGGAATTTAACCTGGGATAAGCATGTGTCTCCATCAGCTCAGCTGCAATGAGGGATCCTCACTGGCTGTGGGGAGAGGGGAAGGTGAGGGGTGCTGACTCTGGGGAGTGAGGGAGGGTGGGTGGTGTGCTCCTGGCAATGCAGGGCTCTAGCTCAGGGCAGGAACCTCTCCCCAGCCAAAGCTGAGGAGCAAAAGGGCTTGGAGGAGCTCAGGGGGCTTTTGGCTGTGGAGTTTCCTGATGGAAGTGCTGTCAGTGGGGCATCCTCCCATGTGCAGCCAAGGCTGTTTGGGAAGAGCATTGAAACTTGGTGCCTTCCCTGGGACACAGAACCCAGCAGAGAAGAATGCAAGGAAAACCTGTCCGTACTCCATCATCGTGCCCCATCCAGGTGCCACCAGGTCTCTGTGTCATTCATGAGTTGCACTGTTAATTAACAGCACTAATTAACTGTGTGATGGAGCTGCCTCTCTGCCAAGAAACCTCCAAAGCTGTGCTTGGTCCCTGGTTGATTCCCCCTGCCCCTGTTGGGTGTCCCACCCTGATCATCACCTTTCTCCTCTCTCTCCCCAGCATGGGTCGGCTCCCTGGCCATGGGGATGATTTTTTTCTGCTCTCCCATCGTCAGCATCTTCACCGACCGCATCGGCTGCAGGACCACGGCGGCCATGGGCGCCACCATCGCCTTCATCGGGCTCCTGTCCAGCTCCTTCACCAAGTAAGGCTGTGGGGGGCACACCCAGCTCCTTGGAGAGCTCCTCTTCCTCCCTGTCCCCTGCAATCCCCCTGCCAACACATTGCTGCTGCCTCTGGGGGCAAAGCAGGTGGGGCCCATCCGCATCAGAGATGTCCTGGTATCCCTACAGCCCATGCCTGTTCTCCTCCAAATTGAACCTTGTGTCCTTAGGTAAAAACAGAATAAATTTTACCCAAGCAAGGAATTGTATTTTTTGGGATTTCAGCACTCAGGTCCCTCATTTGATCTTTAAAACAGCAGCAGAGGTTGGTGTGCCTCTCACGGGCAGCTCCAGAGAGGCACTCACAGAGAAAACTGTTCAACCTTTGCAACCATTTTCACATTTGGTGCTGAAAGTAAATTAATGCTTAAAATAATATTTGGTGGATTACACCTAAGAGGGAGTTTCTGTGCAGGGCAGACAGGGAGGGGAAGGCAGACAGGGTTTGGAGCAGTTTGTGGTGTTCCTGCCCTGGCTCGTGTGTCTGTGGCAGCACAGGGCACTGCTGCTCCTTGTTTTCCATGCCTGATCCCAAGCCATGAATTTCTGCTGGCAGGCACTGACCAATGGCAGGTGTACCCTGTGTGTCTTTCCAGCCCAGAAATCGGGGTTGGCATCGTTGTGGGAGCAAAAAGAGGTCACCTCTGGGGTAATTTATGTGACACTTAGTAAACACAGTCTCAGAGGCTCCATGGAGACACCTCCAAAGCAGCATTTGCCCCACTTTTTCTGAATAAAAACATTGCTTTGGGTTGGATTTCAGTTAAAATCAATATTGTTTTAATTAAAATGCTTCAAGGAGAGGGTTTTTAAAGCAAATACACACCAGTTTTCCAGAGGGCTACTTGCCCATGCTGTGCTCCTCCTGCTCAGTGAGACCCTTGTGCTCGTCCCAGCCCTGTTTCTCTGGATCCCCAACTTCTCATCTGTTGGATCCCCCATCATGTTGGGAATAGGGATCAGTTCTGATCCCCAGGTAAACCCCCCAGGACTGTGGCCAGTTGCAGATGGGATTTTTGGGTTTCTAAAACCATCTTGGATAGCAGCATGTGCAGCTTCCTCCTCAGTGCCACCCTTTGTGTTTCCAGAGATGATGGCAAAAGGTACAGTGGGTCCTGGGGGAAGCTGTGCCCTGGCATGCAGATCACAGGAGCTTCCCATGGAATCCTGCTTTCCTTCCATTCAGCAAAGCTTGGACTTTTTTGTAAAATGTTTGGACTCTATTGTAAAATGTTTGTGCAAAGAAGAAAGGCTCGTGGGACCACACCGCTGCCAGGGGCTTGTTGTGTTAGGCTTCAAAAAAACCCAAAAACCTAAAATCAAACAGTACAGGCAGAGAGGAAAATCTTTTCCAGGAGAGCTCCAGGACTGAAATCCCCATTTCCTGCCTCTCACTCTCGGAGCACATTCCTCTGGCTGCCTTTAAGGGAGAAAGGAGCCCCTTTGCAGCTGGGGCAGAGAGAGGGGAGCTGCGAGGGCAGAGCAGAGCGCGGAGCCGGGGCAGAGCAGGGAGCCTGTGGGATTTGGCACTGCTCCACCCGGGTGGTGAAGGCTGCTCCTGAAACTCAGGGCTTGTGGCTCCAGCTCTCCCTGAACAATGGAGAAGCTTTTTTTTTGGTCCCTCCTGCCAAGTAACTCCACCACAGCTGGAGATCATTCCCCTGTGATACAAGCACTGGTGCAGAGGGACACAGCCTGGCTTTGGTGGGCTCAGGCAGAGCTGGATCAAGGCTCACCCCCACTTTATCTCCATGTCTAAAACAGGGTTTTTTTGTCCAAAAAAGGAGGAGCAGCAGTTCCCAGCACTGCACTGAGCCGCTCCAGAAACACCCTGAGCCACCAAGACTGTGTGGCAAGACCCCCGCACCCGGCTCAGTGCCTCTTGTCTCAAAATATTGGGAATTTTGTAAGGAAACCACTCTTGTCTCAAAATATTGGGAATTTTGTAAGGAAACCACTAAAGAAACCAAATATGCTGAAAAGCAAAGCTCTGGGGAAGGCTGGATGGGGTCAATGCGAGGCTTTTCTTCTCTGCTGCCTAGCTCTGAGGTGTCTCCTGCGCTCAGAACCAGCTCAAGCCACCAGAGACCTTGTGTGCTCTCAAAAAAAGAGAAATCCCAGTTAAGGCTTTAGCTTCCCTCCAGTTTAAGGGAGTTGATTGAGCATGAGGAATGGGAGATGATGGCCAGCTCAGCAGGTCTGTCTTCATATGCCCCCAGTGCCCTCCCAGCCCTCCTCCTCTGCACTAAGTGCTCTGTAGGGAGGGTTGTGTCCCTTTTCATCTGCTTCTCCTTCCCCTCCACAATTCCTGCCTGGTTACTCCTGCACAGAGGAATCCCCCAAAACTTCTGCTAGCAAGGATAAACCATGGCTGTCCCCACTGAGAGCTGGAAGCAAAAGGAAGCTGATGGAGGGACACCTCCTTGTCCCAGGAGAAACAATTATCCATTGTCAACCTCACAATCCGAGGGGATGATGCCGCCCTTCCCACAGGACAGCTGCTGGCTAATTCCCAGTAAGCAGGCTGGGAAACCCTGGCTCTTCAAGAAGCATGGTTGAAAGGAGCCCCAGCTCTTGCAGGGCTGTCTGAGCATCAGTGGGGAGCAGATGGGAGCTGCGGCATTTGTCTCCACTAACCCGATGTGTCAGCTGAGCTGCGGCACCAGCGCTGCAGTGACCAGGCCAGGGCTGGTGCGTGGGAGGTTGGGTACGGCCCACCAGGCCCAGCTGCTTGCCTGGCTCCCACAGAGGGGGCTTCTGATGTGGTTTTGCTCTGGAGTGGATGGAAATTGCCTTTCATGACAGTCATTTGTCTCGGTGTCGTCAGGCACGGCAACCGTGTTCTGCTTTCTGCTTGGCAGGCTGGAGGGATGAGCGTGTAATGGAAGGCATGATGTGCTTGTAAAGGTTTTCCCAACTCCCAGCTGCTCTGGGAAATCTGGGCTGCTGTCTCCTCACTTGCTTTGGGAGCAGCACTCAGTCTTGCTCCGAGGGTTGGAGCACAGACCCTGCTTGTACAACACCCTGAGCTGCCCAAAGGTTTTCCTCACACTTTCCCCCCAGGCAATATCCCATGGCAGATCTTTGCAGCTGGATGGATTGCATGGGAATGAAGAAAAAAAATTCCTTAATCTGGAGAGAAACACAACAGGTTGTTTGTACTGCCTAAATCCAGGCTCCTTTGTCAGCTGCCTCTGTTGGGAAAATTGGGCTGGAAATTGGGAGGCAGCTCCTTCCAAGAGCTTTCATCACTCTCCATCTGCTCTGTAGAGCAGCCACTTCACTCCCTCTTTAGTGCAGCCACCAATGTAAGGTACAAATGAGATCTATTAAATGTCTAATTAAAGCTCCCAGAGGAGCTTAAAGAAGAAGAACTTAATTAACCAGCCTGGAGCCTGGGCAGAAACACCACATTTCCTTCCTGCGTGCCTAATAACCAGCAGGGTTGGTGCCTTCTGCTTCCAAACACTGGGTGGAGAATGTTTTCAGTTAGTCCTTTCAGTGGAAAAATTAAAAGGAATCCTAGCTAAAAATATCCCACCATCCCTACCTTAGAAAATCTTGTTTGCTGTAATTGAATAACCATTGAAGTAAGGTCAGCTTCCCAAGGAGGCCAGGTTGGCTGCTGCCTTCTCCTGGTGGCAGAAAGCACTTCCCAGCCCCACTTCATTTTGCTGCAGATTTCATGTGCCAGCTGTTAGGTGAGGATTATCCTGGTTTTGGTGGGGGATAAGCTCCTCGAGGCCAGCCTGTCTGTGCAGTACCTGCGGCGTGTGACACCCGGGCCTGTGCAGCACCGTGGGGGAGGAGGAGGAGGCTCCCTCACCCCTGCCTCACACCCTCACTCCCATGTGTGTTCTTCCAGGTCCCTGGAGGTCCGTTATTTCACATATGGGATCCTCTTTGGCTGTGGCAGCTCCTTCGCCTTCCAGCCCTCGCTGGTCATCCTCGGCCACTACTTCAAGCGCCGCCTGGGCCTGGCCAACGGCATCGTGGCCGGGGGCAGCTGCCTCATCTCCGTGCCGCTCCCCTTCTTCCTCAAGATGGTCGGGGGTGCCATTGGGCTGGCACACACTTTCCAAGTACTCAGTGCCTTAATGCTCATCCAGATCTTCTTGTCCATGACCTACCGGCCCATCCTGACGCCTTCTTGTGACTCTCAGCACGACGGGCACGACAAGCTGGGCAGCCGGAGCATGAGGCAGCAGTGCTGGGCCCAGACCCGCAAGTATTTCAACCTGAGGGTTTTCCGGAGAAAGACCTATAGGATTTGGGCCTTTGGGATCGCTACTGCTGTCCTGGGATACCTCGTACCTTACATGAACCTGGTGAGAGCCCTGGCTGGGGCTGGAAGAGGAGGGAGGTGCCCGTTCCCTAGAGTGAGGAGGAGATGGGAAGGTGGGGATGGGCAGTAGGGGCAGAGGCACCAAAAGCCTCGAAGCCAAACTGCTGCACATGCAGTAAACAGAAATAGTGATGGATATGGTTTTGAGTGCCCTCTCTGTGCCAGGGTAGGCCAGGGTTACTTCCCAGCACTCCTAAGGACCAGCACAGGAGCAGGAGAGGAAAGACCTGCTGGGTTTGGGATGGGTGGAGGGTGAAGGTCAGTGTGGACATGAGGGTCACACAACCAACCCAAATCCTTGAGCCCTCTGCAGGAAATCCCATCCATTTGGGGAAATGAGAGGGATCAATGTACTGCTGCTTCATGTTCTTGTGTCCTTCCCTCCATCCTAGGTCAAATATGTGGAGAAACGATTTCAGGAAACCAAAAAGGACTGGATCCTCCTGGTTTGCCTCGGGGCCATGTCGGGGCTGGGGCGCTTGGTTTCGGGCCGCATTGGCGACTGCATTCCTGGGCTGAAGAAGATTTACCTGCAGGTATGGTGTGATTTACCTGCAGGTATGGTGTGATTTACCTGCAGGTGCAGTGTGATTTACCTGCAGGTACAGTGTGATTTACCTGCAGGTGCAGTGTGATTTACCTGCAGGTATGGTGTGATTTACTTGCAGGTACAGTGTGATTTACCTGCAGGTATGGTGTAATTTACCTACAGGTACAGTGTGATTTACCTGCAGGTATGATGTGATTTACCTGCAGGTACGATGTGATTTACCTGCAGGTACAATGTGATTTACCTGCAGGTAGAGTGTGATTTACCTACAGTTACAGTGTGATTTACCTGCAGGTATGATGTGATTTACCTGCAGGTGCAGTATGATTTACGTGCAGGTACAATGTGATTTACCTACAGGTACAGTGTGATTTACCTGCTGGTGCAGTATGATTTACCTGCAGGTACAATGTGATTTACCTGCAGGTACAGTGTGACTTACCTATAGGTACAGTGTGATTTACCTACAAGTATGGTGTGTCCAGCCCTCCATGGAGATGCTGGCCAACCATGGTGGGGCAGGGATGGTATCTCTACATTGGTGTCCATGCTCTGCTTAATAACTGTCACTCACAAAGCCTTTAACCACAATCGTTGTCTGCTGTGAGGGAAGAAAATTGACAGAAATGTGTAAGAGGAGTTACACACTTGACCCCAGGGATCGGTGTCTGTTCAGCAATCAAACTCCATGGTAGCCACTCTTCCCAAACTACTGACACCCTTTAACCTCCTTGTGGTTTTTGAAGAACAAACTGCTGAAATCTAGCAGCTAATCCAGCAGTTAATCCTTCTTAACCCTTCTTAAAAGGTTATTCTTAAGGGCCTCTCTGAGACAGGAGCAGTGGCTGGATGGCGTTGCTGGGTCCAGGGGAGGGAGCAGTGACATTGACCTGTTCAGTGCCATCACCATGACTCTTCCTGCTGCCCATCCCCTCCCTCATGCCCACTTTCTTCCCCCAGGTTGCGTCCTTCATGCTGTTGGGCCTCCTGTGCATGATGATCCCCCAGTGCCGAGGCTTCGAGGGCGTCATTGTCATCTGCCTCTTCCTTGGCCTCTGTGATGGCTTCTTCACCACCATCATGGCCCCCATTGCCTTCGAGCTGGTGGGGCCCATGCAGGCGTCCCAGGCCATAGGGTACCTCATGGGGCTGATGGCCGTGCCCATGACTGCAGGCACGCCCATTGCAGGTGGGTGACACCACGGGGCTGCACCAGGACCCAGCGGGTGGGAGGGACGTGGTGGTGGCAGCTTTCACCCTGGTGGTGTTTTGGTGTGAGGGCAGAAACGCTGGTTTGAGTTTTCTGGTTTATCAGGTCACCTGGAGGTTGAGGAATGGGGGTGGAATCTCAGGGCTTCTCTTAAGGCTAATGAAAGATGGTCATTGTGGGAACAGTGAGCCAAGGTCACATTAAGTGATTTCTGCTTGCAGCTGAGCTAAAAACTGGCAGATAATAATTTTCTAGGAGTCCTTTTAGATGGAATTGAAGTTAGAGATGGAGACACCTGAGCCTTCACAAGGCCTGGGTCTGTGTTCCAGCACAGCAATAACCCCAACGTCCTTAACAGCCAGGGCTTTGCCAGAGCTGCCCCTGGGCAGCAGGACCTCTGCATCAGCAGCACTAAGCCAAAGCTGGATAAGCACCTCCGATCTCTCTGCTTCCCTTCCGGCAGCAAAGTTCACTCTGACGCCCTCGGGATGGAACATGGGGCTCACAGACCCTCACTGGGAGGACTCCCTGAGTGAGGCTTGCTGAGTGAAGGGGCCCTTTGCATCAGCCTAATCCCCAGGGAAGCATCAACATAGGAGGGATTTTCCAGCTCTGATCAATGGCCATGTGTTATTCTCCAAGGATGCCTGGCTGTGTTGGAACTTGCCAGACAAATATAGAACCTGGTTGGGTTTTAAAGGCTTGGCTATTGTTTGTAACTGGCAGTGATTATTTCACAGATGGAGATAAAACATCCATCAGGGCAGGGCTTCCAAACAGAGACAATCAGCAGAGGAACAGCCCCTGCCCACTTTCCCATTGCCTCCTGGCTGGCAAGCCTCTGGGAAGAGGTATTGGGTTTAACACGTCTCGGCTTGCATTTGGGATTGTCTGGGATGTGGACAGTTGTGTCCTGTTGTGGAGAAACAGGAAGGACGGCTGAGGCTTTCCTTCTCCACTCCCTTGGTACACAGTGTTGGCTGCACACATCCCTTAATCCAGGGCGTAAAAACTCCAAGAAATGCAAACGGAAAAAAAAGATTATTTTAACAACCCAAATCTCCCCAGATCTGGTGGGTGACGCAAGCTGCACTCGAAGGAGGGAACAAGCAGGTCGTTAGACTAATGAGCTCATTAGGCTCTAACGTCACCTCTCTTCTCTTCCAGGATACCTCAACGATTATTTTGGGAATTACGACGCGGCCTTTTACTTTGCGGGGGTGCCACCCATCATCGGCGGTCTGGTGCTCTCCGTGGTGCCGCTGGTCCACCAGAGGATGCTGAAGAAGCAGCGCCTGGATTCTGGCAAAGACAAGATGCTGGTGTCGGAGGCCGTGGTGAACGGGGAGCTGCTGCCAGGCTGCCCAGCCTCCGAGGCACACATGTGACACCACTCCTGGCTCTCCAGGACACCAGCAGCCTCTCCATAGCCCCAGCACAGGCCCTTTCCCAGACGGACCGAAATTCCCAGTGATCGCAGATGCACTATGTTTGTAAAGGAGAAAACACAAACATTTCTTCTAGTTAAAGGCTTTTAACCAGCAGAAATGTTCTTTTTTTTTTTTTTTTTTTGGGACAGTTTTGATTTCAAAGCCACCTTTTGTTTTTTTCCCCCCTAACCGTTTTTGTAAGGAGAACTCTCACCAGGATTCAAACTTGATCGAGCTCCCGCTCCTCTCCCGGTTTTCTATACATCACGACAGAGGTTTACAGCTAATAAATGCCTTTTCCAAGCAGGCCACGGATGGAACTTGTTGAACCTTGCAGCTGTCCATCCTCCTCCTCCTCCAGTGTCACTCGGGTGTCACATCCAAGTGAGACAGCCCCCATGCCGTCCAGCACCTGGGGCTGTTTTGGAGCCAGAGATCCGAAGGAGGAAGCGCTGCTTTAGTCTGATGCACAAAAACCAAATAAATGTCAGCGAGTCCCGCTTTCATCTTCCTCTTTCCTCCTTTCCCGCTGCTCTCCCACACCCCCAGGGAGCTGCAGCTGGGATGACAGGGAGCTCAGCTGGCTCCAGCCCTCGGAGTCACACGGGAGCACACCCTTCCTGCAAAATATGCCTTAAAAACGCGTGGATGAGACCAGCAGGTCCCTTGGCCATTTTCCCACCCAGCAATTAATGATTGGGCTTTTGAGCTGCAAAAGAGAGGGGCAGCTCCTTGCACAGCCCTCAGTGCCCGGCTCTGTGGGGCCAAATCCATGGGATCACCATCAAAAAGGGCACTTTGGTGGCTTTGGGGAGCACAGGGTTGGGACAGAGCCCCTGTGTCATGGAGCAGCTCCACGTTGGGAGGTGGATTCCCTGCTGGGCTCAGGGGCACCCACAGGTGTGGGGATGCTGCTGGCTCAGGGCATGGGGTGCCTGTGCTGTTTTTGGGGGCCAGTTGTGTATATGCAGCAATAAGCACGAGTCAGTATTGGTGGGGAATCCCAGTTTTCCAAAGGGCTTGACAGCCCCAGTAGCGTTTAACTCGTAGCCCGTGTGTTGTCACTGAGTTGGTGCAGGGTCAGTGCTGATCTGGGGGGAGAGGGAGAGAGTGCAAGGAAATCACACAGCCAGTGGGTGCCCACCACACTGAGTGGCAGCAGAGCTCATCCCCAGCTCGGGCAGGAATCCATCACTGCCCACAGAAAATCGTAGAAATTCAAATTGCCCAGAGAAGCTGTGACTGCCCCGTCTCTGGAAGTGCTCCAGGCCAGGCTGGGCAGGGCTGGGAGAAACCTGGGGCAGTGGAAGGTGTCCCTGCCCATGGCAAGGGGCTGGAATGAGATGAGCTTTAAGGTCCATTCTGACCCAAACCATTCCATGATTCTATGATCATCTCCAGGGATTGCTAATGAGCTTGGCTAATGAGCGAGAAGGGAAGTTCTCCTGCCCTGGTGGGTCCCTGTGTGAACAAGGAGCCAGCTGGGACTGGGGTACCTTTTCCTGGGAGAGAGCAAGAAACAAAATTCACATTCATCCTGACTGCAAACCCATCCTTCATCAAGTTTTCATTTTGTTCACCTGACAGTAAAATCTCAGATGTCTGAAGAGGGACGTGTGTCGTGGGAATCATCCCTTGGTCTCCGGGCGAGCGTGGGGGTTTGTAGCACCAGGACAAGTCTTTGCTGTGGAAATTTGGGCTCAGTGGAGGCCCCTCCCACAGGCAGCAGTGGGATTTTTGTACATAATAGGCTCAGGACCCTGCATGTCCCTCTGGCCCTGTTTTTAACCCCTGTTGGCTGATGCTTTGTAAGGTCTTGTGGTCTCGTGGCCCTTCTGTCCCCGTACGAGCTGGAAAATTACCTGGTGTGTTGTGATGTGTCTGTTTATGATATAAAATGAGATGTCTACTTGTCTCTTCCTTGGATACACTTTTCCATGACTGTTCTCACCCTTCATGGCCTATGTTGCATCCTCTGCTGTGGCTCTGCTGAGCCATCACTGAGTTTTGGGAGCCATGGGAGGCAGATGAAGCTGCAGGAGGAGGCAAGGCTTGAACCACCTAACCCCGGTTCCACCTGGGATCTGCCAGACTTAGCCTAGGGCAGGGCATTAATCTGGGGCTTTTTGGGTGGGAGCCTTGGAAGTGGGGCAGCTTCAAAGCCCTCTAACAGCTGAAGGAAATAAAAAGCTCCTCATTGTAACTCCTTCTGTGAGTTTTGGAGCATTAATTCACATTGGAATTTGATGAAGCTCATTAAATCATACTTTGGACCTTAATGCCCCCCAAAGGAGAGATTATGAGAGGCTTAAATTCCAGAAGTAGCTTCTTCAGAGCAAGCAGAGCATGAGCAAAGCTGTCTCCAAACCTCATCTGGGCTGAGGGAGAGGCTGCACCCAGACTTTGTGTGGGAAAGCCTCCCTGGCTCCTAAGGTGATTTATGGTTTAAATCCCAAATTTCTACAGAATTCCACTTGCCTTAACAGCCCCATATGCCTGCAAAGGCCCCGGGAGGAGCCTGCACTCAGTGCAAGGGGTGCTAAGCCCTGCAGTGGCATCAGAGCAGCTCTGTCAGGCCTGGAGGGGTGCTGGTACCCACATCTGCCCTTCCTACATTTGATCTTTCCCCATGGCTTTTATTATTGACCCTCTAGGAGATCTGGAGTGATGAGGGGCTTTCTTGGCCACCCCTCTGGGTCAGAGGAAGCCACCCCTCATCCTATCCCAGACCCCTGTCTGGTACCAGCCTCCCAAAACCACACTCTGGTCACAATCCTGCCCTTGGTGGACACAAGGACAAATTCTGCAGGTTTGGACAACAGCCATGAAAGGTCTCCTCATCAGCAAACACAGATGGGAATGGGAAGGGCAAAGGTTGGAGCAGTGTCAACATGCAGGGAGTATTTGGGGCTTGTTTGTCAGGTTGCTGCTGCTGAGGGTCTCGTTGGCCCTTTTGAACACCAGGCAGTTTGCAGGATTTTCTGCATGTGAGAGGTGGGATTGTGAGCTGGGAGGGGCTGCCCTGCTCTCAAAACATCTGCTCAGCCTCTGGTGGTCTGGTTGTGATGCCAATGGGTCCCTAACTGCTGCAAAACCTTCATCCCAAAGCTCCCCCTGCTCCATCAGGGTCATCCTGTCCTAGCCCAGCACATCCCCATCCCTTTGGGGCTGCCTTGTACTCAGTTTTCTGACTAAAACCCCAAACTTCTCCCTTCCCTGGAGTGCCAAGCTGTGATTCCTGCCCTTCTCCCTGCTCTGGCAAGGGAAGGGAAGAAAAGGGGGAGCCCAGCACTCAGGCTCAGCCAGCTCTGGGAGCTGGGAAGGGAAGGGGAGTGGGCTGAGCCCCTTGGGTGGAAAAGGGGAGGAAGGGAGGGCAGGGCCCCTCTGCAGCCCTGGCTGGGCTGTTTGCAGGGTGCAGAGCCTTATGTAAGTGTGCAGGGAGCCCAGGACATGTCCCAGCAGCGCCTGCTCGGGGCTGGGCTGGGGCTGCCTCTTAAATCTTTACCTTAAGGGTGTTCAAAACCAACTTGTTGTCTTTTCTTTTTTCTTTTCTTTTTTTTTTTTTTTATTTTTTCTTTTATTATTGTTCTACTGCAGAGTGAGGCATCGGGTTTAACTCCTCTGCCTCTGGCTGGGGGATGGAAGGGGACAGCTGGGCTGGAAGGGCTCCCAGGATGGTTGTGTTTGTGATGGGAAGGGTAGGAGGGCTTTGGGAGCTGTCTGGGAAGTGCCATGATTCATGGCTTAGTGCTTTTTTCAGTTTTGGAATAATATGCAGGAGCTGCTTCACTGCAGCTTGCACTGCCCTGAGGTCCTGCAGCCAGGCAAACACAAGTTTCGAAGTCACAGAGCTTAAATTTATCAAATTCTGGCCTCTCTCCAGCTGGGGTTGAGGTTTCCTAACATTTCTCTGCTGTGGGAGCTGTGGGAAGGCCACATCCTAATTACCAGCCAAGCAGAGGGCTTTGGCAGGTCTGTTGTGGTACCGTGGGGTTCTGAGACCCCCAATTTCAGGAGGTTTTGGCTCTGCCTCCCACCATGGTGGTGCTTTGGGGCTGCCACTCAAGGAGCTTCATCACCCCTGGGCTGATGTGCCTGGAGGAGCCAGCAGGGTGGTGGCCAGCAGCTGGGCAAGGACATTGCTGCCCTCCCTTCCCTGGCAGTGCCCTGGGAATGCTCTGCATGGCAGCAGAGGCCCTCTTTGGTACGTGGGTGCCAGGAGCAGTGTGCTCTGGGCAGCCAGATTTGGTGCTGAGGATCTCACCTCCTCTGGCCTTGAACCCTGGCTGACACTTGCATGTAAAAGTGGCCACGTAATCCTCACCTGGGTAAAGGGGAACTCGGATCAAATCCTCTGGATGCAGGGGGACAGATCCAGCTGAGACTTTTGCTGTCTCTCCATTCTTCACTGCAAACCATTCCTGCTTTTTGTGTGCTCCTGCACCCCACAGTTTTTTTGGGGGTCGCTTTGATTATTTTAGCTTCAATTATTTCCAAGCTGGCAGAGTCTGCTTCTCCTTTTCCAGCTGGAAGCAGAAAACTGAAATGACTTTGAAAGCCAAGGCAAGCGGAGCAGTTCCTTCCCTCCACCTTTGTGCCACCAAACGTGGACCTGAGCTCTTTTGGGTGCTTCCAAGCACCCTTGTAACCTTTGCGGACAATGATGTGGCTGACAAGTGCTCCTTAAATCTGAGTAACGCCAGGCAAGGAACTGGCACAGAGAGGGGCTCCATGGGCAAGTAACAAACCAAAATAAAGCTGTTTCCTTTCTTTTTGAGAGCCCGTGGCAGGAAAGCAGACACAGAGGTGGATGGAGCTCTGAAAGGACTTTGGTCTCCAGGGGTGAGCCCGTGCCATTGCTCCAGGTCCTTTATCTGCTGGCACAGCCTCTCTGTGGATTTAAGCCCTGGTGACAAGGAGGTTATCACTGGCCTTTGGTGGGACCACTGGCACAGCCCCTGTGGAGGGCTTTGTACTTTTATTTTTGCAAATATTTTGCCTGCCCTCAGTGCTCCCCTCAAGGCCAGACCCTGCGAGCGTCCCCGCATCCCCTCTTCCCCTTGGTGATGAAACCCTACAGGTGCAGGGCTGGGATCCACCTTCCCAGCCAAGAGCAAGGACACAAAATCCCTCCTGTTTTCTGCAAAATGTGTCTCTGGAGGAGGCTTTGTAGCTCAAAAATTTCTCCTCTTTTTGTACCCTACTCCCCAAGGCTCTCCCTGCATCCACCCCAGCCCAGCCCACCCCGCAAGTGCAGCCCCTCCTGTAGCTTTCGAGACAAGAATTGGGGGCTGTTCCACCAAGGAATTCAGCTCTTTTTCTGTCCTTTCTGTAGGTTTTTATCATGGTGTGTGAGATGAGTTGTTTACTGGAGCAGTTGCTGCACTGAGGTGATGCTGCCCCTCAGGTGGGCCCTGGCCAAGCTGCCTGAGCCCAGCTGGATTTGGCTGCCAAGCGTGTCCAACCCAATTCTTTGGGAAAGAACTCGGCTTCCCCAGGCCTGAACTTTCCCAGCAGATCCTGTTTCAGCCACCTAAACCCGTTAGAGCCAGAGGCAGGATTGTTCTGGGGAGACTGAGGGCAATTAGGAAATTACCCTGCTCCCCCTCCCCTGCCCTGGGATCCAGCAGCATGAAGCCAAATATTTGCTTTCGGATGGGTGGATTTTGGAGC